TCTTTTCAGAGTTGTCAGAATGTATTTCCTACCCTGCCACCACAAGATCCTGGCTGGCAACCCCACACTGTTTGCATAGCTCCCTCCTGTGCAGGCAGGCTAGGGAGAGGCCACAGCAGTGATTTCCCAGGTGGCATGAAGCTGGCTGATGAGTCCCAGCCAGAGAGCAGTGCCTGCTGCTGCCAGACCCCCTATTCTACTGAGCAGCCCTATGGATGGGGATGGGGATGGGATGATGGAAAGCATTCACTAGGCTTCACACTGGGAGGATGCTTCTAGTCCTGCAAGTGTACGGAAGCTAGATCTGGCAAAAGAAAACTCAGAGCTGGCTCTCCAGCTCTTGGTGTTAGGTGCCATCAAGTCTATTTCGACTCATAGCGAACCCATGTGACAGAGTACAACTGCGCCATAGGGTTTTCTTGGCTGTAATCTTTATGGAAGCAGATTGCCAGGCCTTTCTCCAGCAGAGCTGCTGGGTGGGTTTGAACTGCCAGCCTTTCAGTTGGCGGCCAAGTGCTTAACCATTTGAACTACCAGGGAGAGCCAATGAACCACTCACAAGTAGCATTGTTTTGTATTTTGTGGTCACAGACACTGTCTCACTGGATTCTCATCTAAACCCTAAAGGTTGCCATCTACCCCATTTTATAGAAAGGACCCTACAGCTCAGATTGGTTAAGTGATCACAGCAGATCATGAGCAGAGCAGGCCTAGAGCCCAGGGCCACGTAACACCTGCATCCTTGAGCCTGCAGCCTCATAGCTTGTGCCTACTGAGAGATGGCGGTTGACTTAGGAAAAGCACTCAACTCTGAAAAGCACCTGAGTAGCAAGAGTAGCCTTTCTAATGGCATGCCATTCTGGCTAGGGATGCTGAGATAAGAGGGAATAAGTTAGGACTGGCATTGAATCTAGACACTGCTGCTTGTCTCCACCTAAAATTCTTCCACCCACAATTTCCAGGTACCCAGATTTGATCCAACCTTCAAGGTCCAACCCGCCTTCTCTGGGTAGCTTTCCACATTCACCTAAGTGAGGAGCCATCTCTCCCTCCCATGGGGTTCCCTCGGACCTCATCCCTCCCCCTCTCACAGCCCAGGCTCCTTGTATTATTGTCATGTGTTGCATACTTCATCTCCCTGACTATTGCATGTCCACTTGTGAAGGCTGCAGGAAGAGACCTTCTTTATTCCTCCTTGTGTCCCTGTAGCACTTAATGTAGTACTTGGCACAAGAGGCACTCAGTAATTGCTGGCTGAATTTAGAGCTCTCTTCTGGCTCTCTTTCCCTTGATGCTCCCAAGTTATACTCCATTTGGTGGGAAGCACAAAGTTGGAACCACAAGGCCTAGTAGGTGGCCAGGAGTCAGCAGATAGAAGAATCAGCATGTCCACTTGTCTACTCTAGATTTCTTCCCCCTCATCCCCTTTTTCTTTTCCTTACAAGGTTCCTTTTTAATCCTCGCATTCAGACCCTCCTAGCCGTCCCTTTCCACCAGGCCATAGCATACATTGCCCGTATGCAACTTTCCTTTTTCTAAAGTCACTTCTCCCCAGAACTGTTGGTAGTTCCAAAAACAAGAGGGAGTGGCCACAGTGGCCCATTTTACCTGCATGGGGAGCATAATGGACTGGGCTTACTCATTTGCTCCCTCCCTCTTTTCCTTGTGATACTAAAGAAAAAAGCAATGAACCACCAGGGCATGCTGGTAAAAAGATGCCTTCTTCAGGGACTGTGGAATTATAGCCATTGTCCTCTAGTTAGAAGACCAGAGTTGGTGCTTGTGCTGCCCACAGTTCTGCAGATAATGATCAAGAATGGCTCTAAGAAGCCCTGGAAGTACTCTCTCTTGTGTTCTAATAGTCAGATAGTTTCAGTGTGATTTTTTTCAAATTCAAAACATAGGAATCTAATTTTTGCTGAGAAATATTTAAAGACCTGACAACTTTGGTCATGTTCTGTTTGTTGGCTTGGATACTGGTGACAGAGGGATATTCACTTTGTAAAAATTAATTGACCTATTCATTCATGGGGGGGGGTTGTTCAGTAAAAAATTTACTTTAAAAAAATTTAGCACCCTAAAATCCATGGTAATTTAGCAGTTTGCCCAAGGCCACAAAGCTCATTGATGAAGGCAGGTTCAGATCGCCTAGCTCTTTGTGGTTATTGTTGTTAGTACGTATTTTAGAATCACACCCAAGATCACCTAAGAGCAAGTGCAATGCCCAATTTCAATCTCTTTAGATCTGAATTTTGCTGAAAATTCCCTTGGTTTCCTTGGAGCCCTGCTCTGCGTCTGAAAGTGGACATTGCATTTGAGAGGTGTTTTTTATTATTATTAGTGAGGCTGTAGCTGCTCCCTACTTGCTGTCTCTAACGACAATAACTGCCAAAGAAATCCACAGCCAGGCCACTCCATCCCCTACATGCAGTGGTCTGGAAGGGGGCTCTGTGGGAGGCCCCTTTATGTTTGTGTTGGCCTGTGTACCCTGGAAGGTGAGGCAGTTGGCCTGGCCAGGCTTAAGACCCACCACAGTGCCTGGCTTAGGGCTCATTGGCAGCCCTCTGGACAAAGGCAGTTATTGATTTAGTTACAGCTCTATAAGGAAGGCAGATAGAGAACACTGTATTATAACTCTGAGTTTATCTAGAAGAAATGTCCCTTGATTATGCATATTTCTTTCATTAAGAAAAACTCTGATGTCCCAGGATGACTTTCTACTGACTTTAGAAAACTTGAGCAGTCCAAGGTGACATTTGACCACCCTAAGGCCTAGAAGTGAGTCCCTTGATGAAATAAAATTGAGTCTTCCCCGTGCCCAATCTGTCAACAGCCTCTCAGACAAACTCTCTCACAGTGCCCAAGGCCCCTACCATTAGGCCAGGCTATTTGCATTCCCAGCCTTGCTTCTCTGCCCAAAAAAAAAAGTACTTCACTTTCTCTTCAGCTGTGCTCATGACCTGGAGCTGCCACCCCTTTGTACCACGAGCCCACTTGAATTACCCAACAGTGGTCTCACCCACCGAGTCTCCATGCTGCAGGTTGGCCCCTTCCAAGACCTCCTGGTCGCATCTCCCCACAGTGCCTGAAATGTGGTTCACAGGACAGTGCCAACTAGCCTGTCCCACTCTGGCTCTTGGCCAAGCCAAGGAGGTGTGGCTCTCACCACCCTCGTGGACCTCTTACCTATAACCTGGTGATTAAGTCCTATCATAGGTGGCCTAATGAATAGAACTCCTTGCCCCAGGGTAGCCTAACTACCTACATCCATTTGTGTCATCTACAGTCCAGGGACGTACAGGTAGTGACCTCTAACAGGTCATTTCACTACACCAGTGGTGACCTCTGTAAACCGATAATCAGCCCTGTTCCCTGAGGGGACTCACTGGCCCTTAAGGGGCTCTGCTTTTGGCCCGTGAGGTTCAGGAGTCCAGGTGGAGTGAGTTCCGGTTAAGCACCCATGTCCTGAGCTAATTCACCAGGAACCAGGAGTTGTTGTCTTTGAGTTAACATTGTGTTTGTGCCAGGCAGACTGGTCAGTTTAATATCTTTTCAATTAGTGAGTCTTCCAGTAATAGCATTTTAACAACGAAGTTTCAAGGAAAAAAAATGTTCTTAATTTTTGTCCAAAGGGGGGAAAAAGACTTCTAATAATGGTATCATTATAAATTCTAAAGTGGCAACCATTTGGGTGGGTTACAGAATTTGTAGCTAATAATTAAAATAAAGATTTAAGTAAATGCTTTATCAATAGAGTAGATGATAGGGCATATTTTTCTCAGCCAGCATCAGAAATGGCAGCACATAGCCATGTGCTGAATTGTCACACAATGTGAGTCTTTAAAATTCCTTCTGGATTTGAAGGTATTAACAAGTCCCTATCAACATTCTCTAAAGGTTTTTGATGTCATTTTAGCTATTGAACTAAAATATGTGAACTATTTGTTGATTTTGTTCTTAAACCAAACTGCATTATCATCTGAGAGTGTGTAAGTATTGTTAAAAGTACTTTGAAAACTTGTAAATCCCTGTAATTTATGTTTCTCCTGCCTCTGCTGTTTCATTCTGTCCTTCTGGTTTTAATTTGAATGCAATTCTGTCTGGGTGTGTACCTGTAAATTGTGTTTTTCCAAGTACAATTTACAGTCCTGACCTTAGGTTTTACAGTGTTCCTAACCTTCTAGGAGCTTCCCCCTATACCAAAAAGTGGGCTTTGGGTCACCCAGCTCTTTCATATTAGAACTGTCTAATCAAGGTTACTTGAAACAGATCTGATTTTGGCATTTCTTAGTTTATCATGTAGGCCTAAAGAGTAAATTAGGAGGACTTCCCTGCAGCCCCATTAATTGCATTGCCCCATTTCTTAAAATGTACACAGTTGTAAACCTAGACTGCTTCAAGACAACAGTCTCATTTATCTAAACAATTCTCCTTTTAGACTCAGTGGCACGATGGAAACTCAGATAAGGAGTATGGATCGGAGGAAAGATCTTTTGGTGCCTGTGCTTGCTGAAACTGTTTCCATTCCCCTTACAATTCCCTTTTCTTTCCAGGGCTTGCCTCCATACGAGGTAGATACATCTGCGTTCAGTGTTTTCAGTGAGCTAGGTTAGAGGAAAACTGCAGTAGGCAGGGCCATAGACGAGGGTATCTGAGATCTCTGCAGTTTTTAGGAATATGGCTACTCTGTTTGGGGGGAGGGGCAGTGCTTTGTTGCATCGACGCATATCCTGAATCCGTTCCGCAGCTGCACGTTTCATCATGGGTTATAGTAATTTTTAAATGGCTGTGGAGATTTTGGAATCTTTTCCTAAAGTTAGGAAATGAGGTGGCTTTATGTTTTGCTCTTTTCAAATGTCACTTAAATTAAGGAGTTAGCAGTCAGTTTTTTTTTATACTCCTTCAGCGTGTTCTCCGTGGTTCTTACCAACACTATGCCACAGGGCTAGGGGCAGACCGGGCCTTTTGGCAGCTGACCTGGGGCTCCTGCTCTGTTGCAGGTAATCGTACAGTCCGGCCGCCACCCCACGGTGCTGCAGAAGCTCTGCCAGTTGCCCTTCCAGTATTTCAGTGACCCACGGCTGATCAAAGTGCTGTTCCCTTCGCTTATCGCTGCTTGTTACAACAACCGTCAGAACAAGATCATTCTGGAGCAAGAGATGAGCTGTGTTTTACTGGCCACGTTTATTCAGGTACCTTCGACGTTACGCCTAACGTTCTGGCTTTATGTATAAGCTACTGCAGTTGAAAAGTAAACCAGTTGTTTATTCCTGCGCTCCACACCACCTTTTTAAACTGCCACATATTTCTGTGCTTGAAAATTAATTTTTAAAATATCAGTATAATAGAACTGAGGTTAGGTGTTGTATAATTTCCACCTGGGAGATTTTTTTAAAAAGATATTTTTCCGGTTAACAAAACGGTAAACCCACACTCAAGAAATGTTCTTAAAAGATTGTCAGACTTCTTTAAGGCGTAACTGTTGTATTCACCTTTTTTTTTAATTAGCTATAGAGAATAGGTAACAATTGCTAAAGAGAGGTCAATTAAAACTTCAGTTTATTCCGTAAACTTACGATTTCTAATATAAGCCTTAACTGGTACATTCATCTTGTTTTCAGTCTACCTGGAGGAAATAGTAAGGGGCCTTAGCGGTGCAATGGTTAAAGCACTCAGCTGCTAAACAAAAGGTTGGCAATTCGAACCCACCAGCCACTTTGCGGGAGAAAGATGTGGCAGTCTACTTCCATGAGGATTTAAAACCTTGGAAACCCTGTGGGGCAGTTCTACCCTGTCCTGTAGGGTCACTATGAGTCAGAATCGACTCGACAGCAGTGGGTTTGGTTTTGGGTTAGAGGGACTAGATAATAATTGCTGAAGATAGATCAGTTAAAACCAGTTTATTTGTAAATTTCTAAGTAAATATTCTATATATATACCGGCCTTATGTTTTTCTGATCCAGTTAAATTCTGTAGAACTCAAATCAGAGTTAGTGCTGTAGCAAAGCAGTATTTCCACATCTAAAATAATCAACAGACAGCAGAAAAATGAAATTGGCTCTTCTTTAACATTTGCTAACTAATCCTGTGACTTTTTTTTTTCTGTAACTGTACATAATTATTTGCTGAAAATCTTCCATTTTGTTTCAGATGTTCCACCATAAAATCACTGAGTTTTTGCTCCATGGCACACATGTGATCAGTAGACAATGCTTTCTGTTCTTTATAATAGTGAAACAGAAAGCAGAGGTGTCTTCTAGTATTGTTCTTTAGTCTGCTAATATACATATATCACTGTCTTACGGGTGTGACATCGCCCAGCTGGTTTGGAAACACGGAGAGTTTCCCCAAGCCTTCTTCACCTTAGACAACAATTAATGGTTTACATGTTCTAAACTGTCCTCTTAAGATGATCAGTTAGTAAACACAATTTGATCAATTACGTTTAGAAATGTTTTATTTTCAGCTCAGTTATTTTCTTTGAGTCTGGGTTCCATTTTCTGAAGATATTACCAAGTCAGATATTCAGATCTATAGGTAGAGTATGGATTTTCAAGAAGTGTCTAATGGTTAAATTTAAATCTTAATAAATTCTTATAGTATAACCATCATATTAAAATTTAGGATTCTTAAAAAATTCTTAGAGCCTTAGAAGTAAATTGAATAGAAAATACATTGCAGAGAATGTTAAGACTGTGATATTTTAAAATTCATGTTATTCATTCTGCCATGCAACAGGAAATTTTTGAGTGCCTGCAGTGTGCTGGGTACTGTTGTAGGCACTGGGGATACAGCAGTGAATAAAACAGATAAAAAATTCCTGCCTTCACGGATCTTTCGTTAAAGTTGTTGTTGTGAGCTGTCAAGTCGATTTTTGACTCATAACGAGTGGGGGGAGTCAAACAAAAAACAAATGGCGTGTCAGATGGTGGTCAGTGCTGTGAGGAAACGTAGGCGGGAAACGGGGACAGGGACTACCAGGAGTGGGGAGGTGATGTGTGGGTTTTATAGGGAGAACAGAGAGGCTTCCCTCTGAGACAGTAATGTTTGAGCAAAGATGATTTTGCATCTGTACCAGTTTAGTTCCCTTCATTTTCAAGTGCTTGGAAAACAGTTTATAAAAATACAAATAATATCAGAATCTGAAGTAAAGATCATATCATTTGTTTTCGTCTGATATTGTTCTACCTTTGTCTATTACAAGAAAATCCATATTTAATAAAAATTGTATAATTACTACAGAGATTTCATATAATACATACTTGGGATAGGATATTAGAGTAGTAGAGTTAATGTTTTTTTCTATAAATAATTTTGCTCAAGGGAATATACATCAGGTTTTAGTACAAAAAGGTCCCCATGTATTTTAGATTATTAATACACACTAGAAAATACTATTAAAATAGGAGCTGATGGTTTGTCATAGGTTTCTGAAGATTTATGTATTATATACCACATTTTTCATTTTCCAGCTAAAAGTAAAATTTCCAGACTTTGAAATACAGCTCCAAAATACTTAAAGTTCTTTTATTATTTGTGACTTTTAAAAATGTTTAGAAAATCTGTCAACATTTTAAGAGCATACATTTGGGTAAGTTTTTAGTTTGTTTAGATATAAAGTAAGATCGTAGTTTCCACAGTAGGCAGAAACCTGACCCCTGGTGATATTTAGCAAGATTTAATAGTCATCGCTATTTGACTTAAGTTTATTAGAATCTGGACTATGTAACATAAGTTTCTTTAGTATTTATATTTGTGCTCCAAAGAAATCATACAAAAGAGTAATCATACAAAGGGGTTGCCTCAAATTCAGGAAGCATTTTCAGAGCCACTTTCAGTGAAATTCTGTATTCATGGCATTGGTATAAAACACTTTTCTTGTCTCACACAGGATTTTGCACAGGCTCCGGGTCAGGCAGATAACCAGTCTTATCAGCCCAAAGGTACGTCTCTGTTGAAATTAAATTTTATCTGTTTGTTACCCAAATGGACATGTTACTCGCCCACACTCGGAAACTGTTATATCACCTAAAACATTTGCGATTCAGATACCAAGTGTATTTTCAGTGAGTAAATAAATCGATTTTGTCATCAAGCATGAGTGCATCAGAATATACAGAGAAATCTATGGAAGAGAAAGAAAAGCACAAAACATCTTTCTGTAATTTATACCCACCTCATGCAAGAGAAAGGAGCCCTGGTTGCACAGTGGTTAAGCACCCGGCTGCTAACCAAAAGGTCGGTGGATCAAAACCACCAGCTGCTCCACAGGAGAAAAGACTTGGCGATCTGCTCTCATAAAGATTACAGCCTAGAAAACTCTATGGGACAGTTCTACTCTGACTCGACAGCACACGACAACAACATGCAAGATACAACAAATGGTGAATAATTACTACTAAAGAGCCACTTTATAATACAGGAGACAATCAGATCATTAATACTGACCTAAATTACTCACATAAATACTGAAATCACACAGAATTTGGTTCCCTATCCATGTCCAGAATAAAGTTATCAGTGATAGTAACCGATATTTTCCCCTAAATTTAAGTATTTGAACTTTTTATTTATGTTAGCAAAGTTCAGGGGCCAAAAGATTTAGAATTTTTTTTCTGTAGTGTTACTGCTGGGGTGTTTTCCTGTGACCAGAGTTGGAGATTTAGAATGTTAAAGTGCATTTTTATTTGTTTTAATATTCTACCACCCAGACTGTAATTGAGAAGTACAAGTTCCATCTCTCATTGAGGCCCTAATCCAGATTTTCCAAGTCTTCCATTAGTTTGATAGTCTTTAAAGTGTCTAGTCCATGGCCCACTCCCAGCAGGACCCTCTGGGGCACCCACCAATAAGCCCTTACTGGGAGGGGGGCCATCTTGTATTCTGTCACAGAATTAAAAAATCATCTACTGTGGACAGGTGTTGAAAAGTGTGTGGAAGAGAATACAGCTAAAGCTGTTACAATATCATGAAAAAACGTCCATGTACCCAGAGAAGCAAACAAAAAGCTATGCAACTTTTTGGAAATTCATGTCAACATCATAGTACCACTTGTCTGAGCCAGAATCCATGTGCAAGTTCAGTTCTGCCCTGACTCACTCAGCCACAGCCCGTTTCTGGTTTTCTGGGGTTTTTTTTTTTTTTCCCAAACCTATTGGAGGCTACTTGGGAGAAATCAGTTATATTTCTTACAAAGCAGTTTTCTTAATTTTAAATAAATAAAAATACTTAGAAAAATCTTTCAGTATATATATTTTCAATTTGTACAGCAATTTTTTTTTTTTTTTTTTTTTTTTTCCTCTGACCACAAAGAGTGAGTCACCATTTGCTGCCTATCTGGAAGGCAAAGTCCCAGGGACTGCCTCTGCCTGTTTTCTTTTCTAAGGGACCATCTTCTCTGACTTTTATTCTTTCCCCAATTACAATGGATGTAATCCACACAACAAATGGGGAATTGGTCTCTGCTTTGTTCAGAAAGGTCATCACTGTGTTGGTGACCGCTCATGATGCCAGTTTGTACCTTGGACATCTGTCCTCTGTTGGACTTCTCAGTCCCCACAAAATGTTTTAAGAACGTTTTGAATTAATTGCTCCGGTGAACCCCTAGGTGTCAAGCAGCTCCTGGAGGCACGATGTTCTTCTCTGCTGATGAAGAATTCTGATTTTCAAGTACCTGCTGCTCACTGACTCCCCAGCATCACTAGCCAGTGAAGCCCGTTTCCTCTGCTTTGTTACACAGGCAACTGAATGCCAAAACAGAACATTTTTAAAGTCATATTTAAGCTAAAAGTAATGTTTTAAATTAAATAGACTATATTAGAAAACAAATGTCACAGTTTACATACAGATTTACCCTTTCAAGGCTAACTTAAGAATAGAATATATGACTTTTATTTTGTTCACTGTAACTTATTTTCCCCTTCATTATTTTCTTTTCTCCATCATTATTTTCTTAGTCTAGAGTCTAAAAACAATTTTTTTTCGGTAACGTTTTACATAGAGGTTAGTCTCTGAATATGTTAGAAATGCAAACTGGATTGTGATTAAAATATATATGTCTATGCTAGATAGATTAGATATATAGATAACCTGGTTTACAAAAAAAATGTATCACAGTTTAAAGTATATGTCTCCATTTAGTACTCAGACATCAAAGTAAGTTTAATTTCTTAAACTCTGAAGAATTTAACTTTTTCTTTTTTTCTCTCAGGAAAATGCCTTGGTTCCCAAGACAGTCTTGAGCTGGCTAACAGATTTCCTCAGCAGGCTTGGGAAGAAGCTCGACAGTTTTTCTTGAAAAAAGAGAAAAAATAAATGTTTTAGTTGGGTCTGCATTTGAGTACCCTCGTTAATATTTTAAATTGTTCAAACAAACGTTGTAACTGTTCCTAAAGAAACTCATTTTCACATGTTTATAGTCTCTCCATGCACTGTAGATATGGTATATACTTCGCGCTATTTATAATGACTGTGTAGATACTTTAATGTTCCACTTCCTAATTTTTTGCAAGTTTAATCTGTTTCATTTATGCACAGTATTTTGGATTTTGGTACCTTCCATCCAGTCATTATATATAACTTGATTTGTAATATGGGTGACATTAGACATCAAATTAGAAAGTCTGTTCTTGTAATAAAATAACTTAACTCTGCAGTGTGACTTTATTTCACATTCGGTGTTTTTAAATTATTGCTGACTTTTCTCGTTAAGGCAATACAGATTTGGAAAAAAAAAGTTAACTCCATCGCCTAAAGTTAACGACTTAAAGTTTACTTGCTCTAAATTTCCATTTTTAAGATTTGGAGTAGAGATGTTTGCAACACTTTCACATTCTAACTGCATAGTGTGTTCTGAGGGCTATTTAAAATGGTCTGCCTAAACTTTCCTAGCAGGCAAGCCTGAGAACCTCCTTTAGTACTGCTGAACTCAAAGCAGTCTCCAGAAAAAATTGGTGCTGTAAAAAAGATCAATCATAATGAATTATCCTAAAGTATTTTCTCAAATAATTTTGAAATCAAGCAACACTGAAGTAAAAATAAAGCAGACGGTCACAGCGGCTCTGAATAAGTTTCCTACTACTCCGTGCACTGCATTGCCTACACTTGAACGTGTGAAGGCCCTGTCTGGGAGATGCTGACCTTTTCGTATCTTGTTCTCACTGTTTCTCCACCTTAAGCCGACGGTCAGTGCTAAGCTGTTCACTGAGTGACATCAGCAATAATTTCTGTCAGATAAGGATCAAACACTACCAAGAAAAAAGATCTGGTGTGGGGAGAGGGGAATTATTGATCTGAAAATTTATCAGACTCAAGATCATCAGAGTGGGAAACTGGAAAATACCGAAGTTTGGTCTGTTTTTAAAAGCAGACCTTTACCTAATCTTCGGGAGACTTCTTTCTGGAGCTTCATAAAGCTGCCGAATTATGTGTATTCTGTTTTTACTGCTTTGCAAATCGAGAGCAAATAAAGTCCAATTTCCAAAAACAGACGAGCTTATTCCTGTGCGCGTCGTGCTCCCGCCGCCGCGAGACCCGGGCATCCTCCCACGCTCTGGGCTGCAGAAGCCGCAGCCTGGCCGGGAACCCCCACCCTGAGAGTCACGAACGCTCCGCCCCTACCTCCTCGACTCGTGGGCACGGGGCCTGCCAGCTCCAAAAACAGCGGGACAGGGTCTTGAGAAGCCCCTCCAGCCTGGGCGGAGTCCGCACCCCAGGACTCGAGCGGCGACTGCCGGAGCAGGACCGGAGACTCCCGCCCGGCCTGCCGCCGGCCGCGGCGCACGCAGACGCTCGGGCTGCGTGGCCCGGCTGTGCGCCCCGCACCTGAGGGGAAGTCTGGCTCTGGCGCCTGCGCCCTCCTCCTCGACGGCCGGGTCTCCTCCGCGGCTGGCGGCCCCAGGGGCGGAGGCAGGTGTCCGTGGCAGGCTCATCTGGCGACTAGCAACCGCCCCGGGTGTCCCAAACCCGAGAGGAGTTACCGAATCCCGCTTGCCCCGCGCGTCTCGGGGCATCGACGCAGAATCTTTGTGGCTGAAAGGAATAATCAAATATAAGATCTCCTGCAAGTCATTCCACAATAGAATATACTTCTTATCTGGTCGGAAATTTTCCAAAAAACCATAAATAATTGAGACAGCTGGATTAACCTCCCAGAAACCATACAAGGATTCGCAATTAAACTAATTAAAAGGTTTCATTGCCACCCCACCCCCCCCCCGGTCCTGCAGGGAAGGGGGCTTGATAGAGACAAACCCCGCTCCCACCCAGCCGGGGAGCCCGCAGGCGCATGGCTACGGGGCTTGGGCCAGGGATCGGCTGATGGCCCTGGGACACCCGGTGCCTCCCGACCCGGGCAGTTTCTGTAGGTCTCAAGTTCCCCTCTTGAATGCGCGCTCCGGCTGGGCCAGAGTGATTTAAGCCCTAACTCTCCTGGGTTTTACGACTTCTAAACTGTCCAGGCACGGGAGAGCCCGGCGCCCAGGTGAGGGCGGGCACATCTTGTTCCAATCTGCGAGGCCGCAGTGCCACCCACAGGCTTTCTCCTGGGGCGGGGTCCGGCAACCCGAGTGTCCCGAGCCTCAGGCGAACCACGCGGGGCAGAGGCGAAATGCCCCAGCTGGATCCAGCCTGCGAAGCTGACGATGCCACTGGGCACAGCCGGGGCAAAAGCAACAATTTCGCCCGGGCTTCAGAACCCAGAATTTGAGTCAAATAGTAAAAGCCGCCTGGAGGCCGGGAGCAGAGACATTTGAATGCCCAATGCCGTTGCCCAACAGAATTTCCTGCTCCTGGCGGCAGGCAGCTGCCCTCCCCGGGAGCTCTGCAGAGACTCGTCGCCCAGACACCCAACAGGATATCGGAGCCGCAGCTTCTGGCCCGGTTCCGGAGCCGCCCCTCTTTCCTGGCGCTGTCATTCCGGGGCGCTGTGACCTGGCCCGTGAGCCTAGGTCGGGACCTGCCTCCCCTAATACTCCTCCCTTCCTTTCCTAGCGCGGCTGGGGTAACCTCTTGAGTCAATTCTTCCCAGGGCTTTGTGCCACGCTTTCAAATTTTTGGGTCTCAGCCATCTGGGAAAGGATTACTCCTCACTATCCCCACTTTTCCATTTCCCTCTCCTCCCTCCTCCCCACTCCCAGGACCCCAACATAGGGGTCTTCTGTAGTCAAACCACCACCTCGAATGTTGTTTCCCAGCGAGAAACCTCAGCTTTAGTGAGCTCCTGCCCTCCTCTGCCTTACTTCTTGACCCACTCTCCCATCAGCTGCTGACCTTCTTGACCACAAGAGTTGGACTGGAGCCTGACTCACCTAACGCTCCTGCCTTTATGGCATGATTGCTGCTGGGGCCCCAAAAGTGCTTTAGAATTTGAGCCACTCCCCCTGCTACTCCACATCTGAATCCCAATTGAGTAGTTCCTTCTGCTCTTTCTCCCATTATTACTCTCAGTCTAGCTCCATTTATCTGTATCCTCCATGCAGAGTCCCCACCAGCAAGGTGCCAGTCTGTAATTGGTCACACAATCCTCATCATTTCACTGAATCCCAGTATCCTCAAGAAAGTTTACATCAATCAGACCCATATTTAAAAGCCTCTAATCTTCCTTACATCAGCTTAATAAACTCCTTCCGAATTTCCTGCTTTTATCACAACTCCACTGGGAACTTCTCTGTAAATAGTTATCATTCGTTCATTGTTTCCTCTCTCGAGCATGATGTTATTCGGCTAATTCTCTTGCTCTTTTTTGGTGAAAACCCTTATGGGAAAACACAGCTAACTCAAAATATGGCAGTTTATACCCTCCCGTAAGCAGCAGTGGCAGAGTCTCAAATTTTCTAGAGAACAATCTTAGACAATATCTCATTTAAGCCCAGTATTTGAAGTGCTGGCAAAACTGAGCTTTAAGCTATTCTATATTCAAAAGTAAGACTGGTTTCTGTTCCACAATCCATTAAATATTAAAGTTCGTTAAGAATACCGCCACAGGGACTCTGAATTTTCCAGAATTATGCAGTCTTTCAATATGTATTAAATTTTGTGGTATAATAGCTATAAACTTTTCCATCTCTGGGAATCCCTTTCCCACCTCAATTACATAGAGCTATCCAAATTATTAGATAAATCTTCTGAGAAAATCTTATTCTAAAGTGATTCTAGCAAAATAACTCTCATTTTCCACCTATGGCCTCTTTTATTGAATTGAGTTTTTACTACACATCTGGGAATCTCACTTTAAAATTTCAGTAAGCATAAAATACTACACTTGTAATTGTTACAGGTAATTTAATTTACAGGAAAATCCCTACTGTATTACAGAAGATGTTAAAAGATGACCTGGGAACCAGTTAAAACTGATGTTTATTAATGTAACTAACCAACTGTTAATCTGGCACTTCACCAAGGACCCTTGTAATAAGGATTCAGAGTCAAACCTTCTCCCTAAAAACCCACGTGGAAAACGATATGCCCCTTTGCATGGCTAGAGACAAACTGCAGGAGAGAAAAGCTTGTGATGTTTTATACAGTAATACAGATGCAGGTATACCAATGCACAATAACCTTTTGTCTGGGAAATTTCCCATTATTCAAAAACAGACACGCTCATATAAACATCAAAAAGAGGAATTAGATTTTTGACCTACCAATGATAGGGGAAGACATCATGGTAATTAGGTGGACAGATGTTTCCATTTGTGGCATTAAAATACTGTACTCAACAGTTTGTCAAAAGGGAAAATTCAGAGCTAATTAACAGCAACCATTAATAAAATTCTTTATTCAAGAACTTATTTCCTTTAAAAGAAAAACGACAAGACTCACTATTCTGGATAAATCAAAAGAACTAAAAAGTAAGATTCCTTGGAAGTTTAGCCCCTTATCCAATGGCCAACCACAAAGTAAAGAGAGATGTCTGTATTTCTTTTGGGGTGGGAGTGGTCTAAGTTAAGAGAAGGAAGCCTCACAGAACCCAGCCCTGCTTATTAAAACCTTTTCTGGGCACTTGAGAGGTAAAGCTGGTCCTCATTAACCCTGCATATCTCCTCCCTTATCTCTAAGTTTGCAGCACTGTTGCCTAAGTCCTGAAGAATACTTTTGCTACCATCACCTTGACTTGCAGGAAGTAAAACATAAACGTGGCTCTATTTTCCCACCTTCTCCCATTTTCTTTCAATAATTGCCGGCAAGCCTTTCATCTCTAAAGGGGAAGAGGGCACAGAATCCTGCCATTAGGAAAACCTGTGGAAAGCCTGTGGCTTTCTAACAGAAGGCACCTATTCCTCTCTCCAGCGACCGCAGCTGCCCCTCAGACACATTTTCCACACCAGCCACCACCTGAGCTAAGCTGGCCACTATCCCTACCCAGTCAGGGCGTTGCCCTTTTTCAATATAAACCCTGGACAAAGAAGGATGCATTCGTAGGTCATTTAACTCGGGGCACAAGGAAACGGAAAGTCATTGTCAGAGATTCGTCAAGAGTAGTGGATAGGCCGGTAGGCTGGCAGCTAGCTTCCGGCGTCCTACCACATGAGGGCTGATCTTGTAAAAGCACTGTCTCAGGCTGCCAAAGGGTTAAATATTTGTGAAGGGTAAAACCTGAGCCTCCCGTTTTTGTGCTTGCCCGGGGGCCTGCTGGAGAGATTCAGTATCTCTTGGTTATTTCCTGCGATCACTAAAGCCAGTTTTCAAGAAAACAAGTCGCAGGGGTTTGAAATGTCACACCAAGTGACCTGGGCACGGCATATCCAGGGGCCATTCCCAGCCCCCTCCCACTCGGACCATCCCCCGCCCCCTCCATTTCGGGTCTGGAAAGAAAATAAACCAAGGACACGCCAGACTGGTTCTGGGTGGACTTATTTTCTCCGGCAGCCGCGATCCTAGCGGGGGCTTGCTGTGGCTCCTTCGGCGTATCGCTTGCAGGTGATGCCGAATGCAGATAAGGAGCCGCCGCCCGGCCTTCTCCTCTGTCTAGACGGGGGAATTAATAAATGCAGCGAGATTGATCACGTCGCGCATCCACTCTGGGGACAACACGGAGGACGAGCCGTCACGGCCGCCGGATCTGGCGGGGGTCGGCCCCCCGGTTCGCCCCGGGCCCTCGGGCCAGCCTCGCTGCTCGACCGCGGGGCCAAGGGTAGCGGGGGCGGGGGCAAGACGCCCGGGGATGCGGGGCCGGGCCCCCAGACAGGCGGGAAAAGAAGCGCTAGGAGGGCCCGAGTGCTGCGGGCCGAAAGTGGGGCGAGGGGCCGAAAGTGGGGCGAGGGGCCGAGGCTCAGGCCTGGAGGCGGGAAGACCACCGGGCGGGCGCCGGCTCCAAGAACTGGGCAAGCAGCGCCGAGGCGAAGCTGAGGGGGAATGGGGCCCACCCCTCGCGAGTGTGACCGTAGGCTGGAGTCTGCCGCGGGGCTGCCACCAGGGCCCTGCGTATTTCCCGCCAGAACCAGCTCACCGCAGACTTCCTGCCGGCTTCTACCGCGCGGCGACCAGCCTTCCGAAGGGCCCAGGACTCACGCGCACGGTGGTGTTGCGCGAGCGGACGGACTCAGCTCCGCCCCCGCGCGACGCCCAATCCCGGCAGGGCCCGCCCCCTGCCCGGGCGGGAGCAGGCGGACCAGCGGCGCACGAGGCGCGGGCTTTCGCCCCCGGGGCAGGGCGCTGAGACCCAGACGTCCGTTCAGTGATGACTTATTTTCGTTGAAATAAGCCCAACTCCCGAATTTACGTTGGTCTAGCCCTTTTGCTGCGCCGATAGTACACAGGAGCAGCTTCGCATGATTATTATTTTTTATTAAGATCAAAATATTCATCCCGCTATCAACTGGCTGTTGTCACAATAAATAACAATAACTTACGTTTGTTCGGCAAAGGCTCACACACTCAGTCCTCCGTCGACTGATAATTTAAAACATTTTCAAGGAAAGTCTCATTTCTACTTTTTTTTTCCCCCAGCAATCATGCGCTTTGGGGGTTTAAGTGTCTGTTCTGTGGGGTTTTCCCCCTTCCTCTTCCCCTCTAAGGCCCGGGCGGAGCCGCCTGGGAGTGCTGGGCGGGTTTGGGGAAGGAGTCCCCCTTGGGCGAGCTCGGAGCTGGCGGGGCGCGGGAAAGGCCCTGCGTGTTCTCCACGCTCAGGGTGGGTAGGTGGGCACGGGGAGCAGAAAGACAGAGTAGCGGCGGCCACACGGAGCGTGGGGGAGGCGAGAGCAGAGCTAACCATGGTAAATCCCAAATTCTGGTTCTGAAAAAATAAGTCTTCGGAGCAGGGGTCTCCACTCTAATGAAAGCAGGTTGCGTCCTGGCGCTTACGGCAGTCCTGACCGTTTCCGTTGGCCCTCTCTCTTTAAATAACAATAATGAGAATTTAAAAGGTGAGAGAGTTTTCGGAGCTGGAATGGCCCGAGCATGGGTGAGTCTCATGCAGGGAGCATGCGAGGTCCGCCGGCTGGCGGGGAGGGGTCCCCCTCACGTCTCCACCGGACTCGGCACCATGCTGTTGGGGGTGTCGGGGAGCTGCGAGGACAGGGAAGTCACGTCGCTGCCGGAGGAGTTGCCCAGGGAACCGGACTCGGAGAAGGAGACCTGGGACGGCGGATACACCAAGGATGAGCGAGTGAAGACATGCCCGAGCTGGTGCTCTGGAGCCTCATGCTTCGAGTGGGAGGGTGTCCCTTGGGGACCGGCCACCAACTGACAGCAAGCCGGGTTTAGAAGGCGGCCAGGTCCCCAGGCGTACACTCGGGGATTAGGGCTCGGGCGCAGGCTGGTTTATTCCCGCGACCTCTCCTGCGCGCACTTTAACCCGGGAGACCTGGGTTAGGGCGAGTTGTGGGCTGGGATGCTGTTGCAGCTACTCCCCTTCCCCACTAGTCCTTCATTACTGAGGGCTGTCCCCTAGCCCATCTCATCTCAGCCTCCTCCTTCCCTTCTCGGAGAGGTCCCCAGCGTGCGGGGCTATCCCATCCCCACCCCTCCCGCAGGGTCTGTGGGAGTCCGAGACCAGAGCGGGCAGGGCAGGGCCTCACCAGCTGCTGGAAGGCGGGTTGGTCCAGGTCACTCTGGAGGGCGAACTCGCTGAGTGCTTTCCACGGCGGCTGGTACGTCTGCACCTCGACTGCGCTGCCCTGCACCGCGCTCTCGTGGCGGATAGGGCTGCCCGCCACCAGGGGCGTCCCGGTCAGTCCCTGGAGGCTCTGCGGGGCAAGGGCGGGAGGGGGTGGTGCGCTTGAATTAGATCTTGCCTTTTCCACCACCGTCGAGACTGGGACCCGAGACAATGGTGCTTGATTTGGAGCGTGCAACGATTTGAGTGTGGGGGCGGGAGCACTCGACTGGTATTGGATTGGGCCCTCCTTCCCCAGTCAGGATACTCCAGGGTCCGCAGACCGGCCACCATTGCCCTGCCAGGAGCCAACCACAAGGGAAGGAAATGGGAGGTCTGCGCTCCCATCCCTCCTCAGGTATGCAGAGGAAAGGGGTTCAAACTGAGCCAGGCCAAGGGAAGGACACAACCTGCTAGCCTGACTTGTGGGCGCTGCGTACAACCATACTGCCTTCGGCTCTTCGCTGTGCCCCTAGCCCCCCAACTCCGGGTTGCTGGCGGGCCAGGGCGAAGACCCCACCGCAGATGCAGTAATTACGGGACCTTAAACCCTAAGGCAAGCCTGGCTCTTAAAGCACAAACACAGGTGATTTGGGGAGTACAGTTCCGCCGGAACTCCCCAAAAGAAGAGCTGGCCCAGAAAAGGGCACACAGACGCCGCGGGCGAACCCGAAGCCCCACCCGTCAGGCTACTCGGGCCGTGGAGTCCCTCACCGTCTTGTCGTTGTGCTGCTGCTGCTGCAGCTGCTTCATGAGAATGGATTTCTTCTTGTCCTTGCAGCGTTTGTTCTGGAACCAGACGCGGATGACCCGCGGGCTCAGGCCGGTCATCTCCACCAGCTGCTCCTTCATAAGCGCGTCGGGCCGCGGGTTGGCGGCATAGCACGTTCGCAGTGTGTGCAGCTGCTTCTCGTTGAGCACCGTGCGCACGCGGGTCGTCTTCTCCGTCTGCTTGTGCACGTGCGGGCGCAGCGAGGGCTGCCGGCCCGCCCCAGGGTCTGCGAGGACAAGGGGGCGAGAAGTGAGCTAGGGGCTGTGACCCACCGGCCCGGCGCCCGGTCTCGGGGCGGCGCGAGCCCTCTGGGGCCCAATTTCGTTTTTTGTTTGTTTAATTCTGTTTCTTTCTTTTTATTGTTAGTCTCCCTTTCCATCTGTTCGCCTTACCCCGAGGGAGCTGTGCGTTTCGTCCCTTCCCCTAGCTCCTCGGCCGGGCTGCCCGCAGCGTTCTCTCCGCAGCGCAAGCGGGACCCGGGAGCTCCGCGCTAGGCCGCTGCGGGCCAAGAGTGGCTACCCCCAGCTGTGCCTCCTCCACTCACCCGACCCTGGGAGAGCCCTCTTGGGCCCGGCGGACGAGTGAAGTCCGCCGGAAGAAGTCGGAGTGTGTGAAGAAGAGGAAGGAGGCCCGCAGGAGGGCCTGACTCGGCGCGGGGGAAGCGGCGCTGCTCCGGGGTTGGCGGGGGTGGGGATCTCCAGCTCCCGGGGCTTCCCCCCTCGTTCGGAGGCCGCTCAGACTCCACCGGCCTGAGGGACAGCAGGCCTCCAGGGCCGGGACGGGTTTCTTCCTGCCCGCTCTCGGACCTCGGCCCCGTGGTCTCCTGCCTCAAGGCTCCAGGTTCCCCGGCCCAGCAGCGCCCACCCTCCGGCCGGCGCGCAGCCGCTGGCAGTCTCCTCGCTTGGCCTCGGGTTCTCTCAGTCCTGGGGAAGCAGGGCCTGATTCTGGCAGCCCGCAGCCCGCAACAAACAACAAGTACCCTCTCAGAGAAGCCCCTCCGAGACTAGGGAGAGGGGTGCCCTCATTTCCATCTTCATCCTGCTTCCCAAATACATCCTGACCGGACTATATCTGCACACCCACGCATATATGCGACACTGTTTCGATTTAGAGCCCCTCCAGGCCTTTCTAGATCTGGATAAATATTTACAAATAGCCTATGCAGCCCAATTTCCTCACTCTACAGAGGAAGAAACGGAGGTCCAGAGAAGGGAGTAGTGCTGCAAAGCTACACAGCACCGGAGGCTCAGCCTGATCTAGGCATCGCTTCAGGCCTCTGGCTATCTACTGGGAGCTGCCCTTGCCTGGGCCCAGCGTGCCGCTGCTTCTCACCACCCCTACCTGCTTAACCACCACTCAGACCTCATGCCAGGGAGCTCCTGATTAGGGCACAGAACATACCCTGGTGTGTTTTAATCTGATCACGGACTCCACTGTGCCTTTATACTCCCTCTCCACTCAGAGAAGCCCTTGGCTAAGTTGTCCATCAAACTGGGCCTCAAAAAACAAACACAGATGCCCCGTCTTTGTCGGGTGGGTGGCCTTCAGAGCGGGCCTTACGGCGCGCTCCTGGCCGGCTGAGCCCAGGCCCAGCTCCGGGGTTGGGAGCTGTATAGCTTACACACATCGCCCAGGGCAAGTTTATCTTTCTTCTCTGACAATAACACATCTTCCTAGAAGAAATTCCGAAGGCAAGTCCCTCCGACAGGCACCACTGAAGATTTCCTGTTGTCATACGCCCTCCTGCTCCCACCACCCTGTCCCACATATTCCTAGTCATGGAGAACACAATTCCTCGCACTCACACATTCACACACACACAATCCCAATTCACGCTGACGCACACACAATTTCTCCCGGTACACACGAACACACACCGGTGTTCCTAGCACACAGTTCTGCGTTCACACCGAAAAACATACAATTCTGGCAAACGGAACCACACACAAGTGACGATTTCCGTCAGGAGCAAAACAACCCCCCTACACACACGCACACACACACACACCCCTCTCACTCCACTCACACCACCGCAGGAGGCGGAGGGCCCAGCGCGCGCGGCTTACCTGGCAAATGCAGGCCACGGGCGCCGGGCAGCGGCCCGGGGTTGCGCGGGCTGCCGGCTGCGGCGCGCTCGAGCAGGAGGCCGTGGTCGGCGCGGCAGAGCAGCTCGTGTTCCCGCAGTGAGAACTCGTCGCCGGGCAGCAGCTGGCGGCTGCACACAGAGCAGCGGAAGCACTCGATGTGGTACACGCTGTCCCGCGCCCGCATCACCAGGTCGCTGCTGCTGAAGCCCACCTGGCACTTAGCGCACTTGATGCCGAACAGCCTGCGGATCCAAGGCGCGGGCGGTGTGAGTGCCGGGCCGCCGCCCAGCCCACGGCCTGCGGCAGCCCTCGCCTCTGGAGCTGCTCACCCGCTGGGCGCAGGCACGCCCAGGACGCTTTGTGGCCCACGGGGAGGCTGCGGGGACCCCCGCATCGTGGTTCCTTGGCCTGGAGGCGCGCGGCGGCGCGCTTTGGGGGTGGGGCGCGCGGGCGGGCCGCGGTCCCTGCGCCCCGGCCCTGGAGGGCTGTGGCGGAGCCCGGGTTCCCGCGGGCCTCACCTGACGTAGTCTCGCTTGCAGTAGGTCTTCCCGTCTCTCACGAAGCACGTGCAAGTCTCGTCCAGGTACTGGCTGCACTCGGCGCACTTGAGGCAGGCGGCGTGCCACTCGAGATCGGGCGACACCCGCAGGATAAACTGGTCGTGAATCTGACTCCCGCAGCCCACGCACATGGCCGTCCCGGGC